CGGAGACCCCCCCGCCCCGGGTGGGGAGGGTCGGTGGTAGCCGGGGAAAGGGGCCGGGTCTGGGCCTGATCCCGCTCAGATCCTGTCACCCAGTGGGCCGTCCCTGTGGAGGGGCACGGCTGCGCGCGCGTCGGTGGCAGCAGTGCTGCAGCCGCGGGAGCCTCGTCTGGCTTGTTTTCTGTTGCAGGGAAAATCGCTGAGTCTCATCTGCGGGGCCCTCTCCTGGCTCCGAGACTTTGAGGAGAAAAAGCAGGAGGAGGAGGCGCGACTTCTGGCACTTGAGGACAGCGGGCAGGAGGGGACGAAGCGCCCGACTTCAGCTGAGCCAGGACGCCCAGACAGCAAAGACACCGCTGGGGAACCGGACTGGGTTACCGCATTTGTGCAGAAGAAGGAAGAGTTTTTTTTGAGCGGGACGCAGTGGACAGGCTAAAGGTTGAGAAATGCTCATATGTAGAGGATGGGTAAAATAACGAGGTGTGAGGATCAGAAAGGCTGATAGCCTGGGTGATGATTGGAAAAACAAGTGAGGCAAACTTTGATGGTGGTCTTTACCTTTCACAGGACTTTGTTTCAGTTACGAGTTCAACGTCGCAGGTTCAACCTGCAGTTCAACGCCGTGCAGGTTGCAAGATAGGAAACTGTATTACTCTGAACATAGTAACATATAGTAGGCGTGCACTCCAGGAGAATTGTCCACTGACAATTTTGTTTCAAAGTTATTTTTTTTCTATACCCAGGGAATAGGAAAGTAATTTTACCCAGGGTTTAGGGACAAATACACTTCATCCTTCCTTCACTCTCCCTTTACTTCAGGAAGAGCAGGTCAGGAGGAACACTTCATCCTTCTTTCACTCTCCCTTTACTTTAGGAAGAGCAGGTCAGGAGGAAAAAACGAGAAGAACGTCTTGAGAAAATTCGCCATAATGTGCAGTTAAAATATGCAGCAAAGAGAAAGGTGAGTTACCGCACAGAGATTAGAACTTTCTGTTTTGTTACCTCGAGTGTTCATATTTGCTTATATCCGTGACTTCATTCTGAATTTTCCAGCCTGTCTCTTTGGGGAGCTCTTTGTATCAGGTTGCTGAAATTGGCCATCCAAAATTTTTTATTAGATTTTCTTTTTAAAGTACAGACGTGAAAAGCAATTTGTGCATAGAGAATTTCCTGTGACAATGCTTGTGCGTGGATAGAAAGGGAGAGTGTTCTGATGGCCCTCTGCTTTTGTTTTAAAAGCTTTAATACTTGGATTTTTTTTTTTTTTTTTAAAGCACTCTGTTTTATGAGCATGTGTGAACACTCGGTACTTCTGGAATAAAACCTGTAGAACTGTGATTAAATTTAAGATCATAGAAACAGAAGACCCTTCCAAAAAAAAACAGGTCAGGCTTTGGTTGTACTTTGCCCATCACTAGGGAACGATTGTATTTGTTTACTTTCATAGCAAATGCGATTGTATTGGTCAGAAGCGCCTCTTTTCTACATATAAAAAGTTCACAGATATATTTTTCTGCCATTTAGATGGGTGAACTGGCTTCAGTACTCTCGACTCTAAGAGGTTTTTGATGGTATGAGTCAAACTTTCCAGAAAAACCCGCTTCAGGTCCCTAAACAGGCAGACTTACTAGGCAGCCAGGCTTCTAGTTTCTAGTGTGCTCCATCTCAAGTGCTGTGTTATGTTTTGGTCAACTCCTGTCAAAAGGATATGGCAGAAATAGCAAAGGTTCAGAGGTGAATGGTGAATAAAAAACAAGTGGAACAAAGAACTTTTGTTTCTTAAAAGAGAATGAAGAGCATGTGAAATGAGAAGCATGATAAAAAGCAAGAAAGCAAGTGAGAGAAATATTATAGAGGTTGGAAAAGCAACTGATTCATCTCTTCTGTAGCGCTCACTAACTGCATTTCTTCATAATGCTGTGGTAAAAGAACGCTCATTGAAGTTGGAAGATACTGTTTTCAGATTGAAAAAAATGAACTTTTCTTTATCAGAACACAAAGTTAATCACAAAACTATTCTTCAACAGTTTAATGGAATTTTTGTAGAGGGGTAGACCTGTGTTAGAATAAGAACCACGTAACTGGAGAAAAAACAGTAAGAGAAGTCTTGTGCTCTGCATCCTAAAACAGGTGCTGAGTTTATCCTAGCTTTGAGTTAAGTGTGGACAGAGTGTTTGATTATGTCCTTATGTGTTTGTTTGGTTGGGTTTATTTACACACTATTTTTTCTCAGGCAGACATCTTTTATGGGCCACTTTAAGCAACTAATACTGGATTGCATGGATATTGTCATTTCGGGATCTATTAGTTCAGCGGGCGTTTTGCATAGGAGATTCTTTATGTTTCCCCCTTCATATACGTCTGTGTGGGCAAGTCTTTGGTTGTTGGTAACAGCTGCATTCTGTGGGGCTGAACAGCTTCAGACACCCTTGGTGCATTTGCTTGTCCTACTGGGGGTTTACCCAGCAAGCCATTCCCTGTGTTACGGGTGAGGGACTGTGCTGTCTTCTGACCTGTCCAGGGCATAAAGCGATGTGTGTGCTACCTCTCTTTCTGTGTGAGAAATAATGTGATCATGTGTTCCTTTCAGAGATCTGAGGAGGATGAGACAAAGCGCCTTCTTCAGCTCAGCAAGGAGGTTCTTTCAGAGGGAGCTGGAGTGGATGTTCTAGAGCAGCTGGATCACGATGAGGAGGAGCTGATTCTTGCTGAATATGAGAGTGATGAAGAAAAGAAAGTGGTATCTGGGTAAGCGCAGGGACTGAGGGGGTTCTGTGCCAAGGAAACGTTTTCTGTATCATTTTTGTCTTGCCTTGATGAAAGAGATTTCACCTGTGATTGTGCAGATCTGGAGCTTCTCCCCCATTCAAGCTGTGTAAGGTAGTGCTTGTTCTGGGGGCTTGTTTGCTTAATTGGTTGGTTTGGTGGGTTTTTTTGAATTTTATTTTGTTTTGTTTTTTAAGCTTTTGTTAGATCAGAGTGACCTGAAGTGTTTTCTGAGAAAGTGCATCTTTCTTAAAATGTGTGGCAATGTCCTGCCTTTATCCATGACCAGTTTCCCAAAGAATGCCTCTGGATGCTGAGTGAATGGCTTGAGATCAAGTGTCTTGCATTAGAAAAGCAAAATGGAACTCAGGGCATCAGAGGAAGCTATCGGTCCTGCAGATTAGCACTGGCATCTCTTGATACTCTAAAGGGAGAGATGTTCACGTTTCTGAAGACCGAGCTTCAGCATGAAAACCCCATGCACACTTTTCTCTCTCATACATTTGCTTTATGCAGAAAGCCAGAAGCCATACTTCAGCATGAAAAGTCAAATACATTTAAAATACAAATTTACTAATTAGTATCTAGACAGATCCTCCTGCCTTAAAAATTGCAAAACACTTAACTACTTCATTTATGTGTAGTTTATCAAACATTAAACTGCTGTTGCCTTTGAGGAACTCTGTGGCAGCTAAATATCTTCCTGAAGCTTTTCTTTATGCAATAGCTTGAGGGTGGTAAATTGTCTCTGAAGGGAAAGTCTTACAAAAATAAATAAATAAGCTCACCAAAGAATAGTATAGCACTGATTAGCTTACGCCCGGGGCTTAGAAGCCCCAGATTTAAAAGAAAAAAAAAAATTCTTGAAGTTGCTAAAGAGACAGCCCTACAGATGTTTTTCTTTTAAAGGGCAATGCTTGACTTGATTGTGCACACTTACATTGTTCTTAAAAAGTCAATTTTTCTTTTACCTCCTGAGTTAAGATCTGAGGCTCTTCTTGAGATGACATAACATCTCTCTTGAGACCTCTCTCTTGTAGTAGAGCATCATTTGATTCTAACTGTCAGTGATCTGCTGAAAAGAAACTGTTTGAGCTTTCTCTTTTCTTAGGCTGGAAGAAGATGACGATGATTTGGAAGAGGAGCATGTGACTAAGGTGAGATGAGGAAAGTAAATACTGCTGCCTCACAGAACAGTGTAGGAGTGAGCAGCGTTATGGCTTCCTTGCACCCTTCCCAGAGTCATGCGGAACAGAAGGATTTAGAAACTAGCATCCAAGAACTGCTGAGTTTGTTGATAATAGCAACCAGTTCTGCTGTGCTCATCTCCTTCTGGACTACACTGGCTGCCTAAGCAGCCTGCTCTGCTAACACTGCTGAATTTTGGTTGTGGCTTGCTGTAAAAGCACACTGCAAGAAACACTTTTTTATTACTCTCCAATGGTGAGTCCCTGCTATTATAAGGACCTTGGAAAATTAAATGGAAACAAAGGCAAATGCATAGGAGAAAGCAAAGATAAGGCTGTTGGCCTCAACAGTTGTAAGGTGACACTCAAACATGTGCCTTCCCTTGTGTTTTTGAAGACTTGAGCAAGATTAACCTTGTTGAGGTGCTTGGCTGCTTCCTTGCAGGATTGGTTGTAGGTAGGGGATTGGCTTCCATGTTCTTCTTGTCTTCTCTTTGTTCTACCTCATTGTAGATTTACTACTGCAGCCGCACTCACTCCCAGCTGTCTCAGTTTGTGCGTGAGGTGCAAAAAAGTCCTTTCGGCAAAGACACACGTCTGGTCTCCCTGGGATCCAGGCAGGTATGTGGTATTGTTCATGAGGGACCCAGAGTGTGTATTAACTTAATATGAGAGACTTTGCGGGGAGCTGTGTGGATGTGATGCCTCAGAAGGCATCTCGGGGATTGACTGAATCTCCCACTGAAAAACTAAAGCAGTCGTGGGTTGTGACACAGATGTCTGTGATGTACATCTTTTTGTGAGCTGTGTTTTGACCATTTACCCTTTGATGTAAATGCAAAAATCTGTTTTACCTCTTCTGATGTGGAATATTACAGATGTGTGAGTCACTGGGAAGGCATTCCTCTTTGTATTACTTCTGGCAGCATCTTTTAGAAGCTGTTACGTAGCAATGAGCCATCTCAGTGCGCCTTTTCTCATGTTTTTCTCCTGGCTAAGTTTTTACCAGTTTCGAGCATGTTTGTAGCAGTTAGTATGCACACTGTCTCACCGATAAACTTTTCCATTTCAGAATCTGGCCTGAGATTTTCTTTAAAGAAACCTTTTATTTTACAGCAAAGAGTGCACAGGGCGCACTCAGTGCTTAACGACCCCCTACCTCTTCCTCTCTTTGCATGTCCAAGAACCTGTGTGTGAATGAGGAGGTGCGACGCTTGGGGGCTCTCCAGCTCATCAATGACCGCTGCATGGAGATGCAAAAGAACAAACATGGTAGGAACACTTCCAGCCTGGGAAAGCAGTCGCTGATAAAGCTGGTGTGAGAGTCTGGAGACAGTATGCTCTGCCAATCAGTTCTAGCAAGAGAGTGGTAGGAGCTTGAAAATGGCAGGTTGGAGGAGCAGAGCTAGAGATCCTTAGTGCTTTTAGTTTTCTTGTCCCCAGGCTAGGATGCTGAGACCTATATGTATTTTCTGAGTGCCTTAAGGTGGTCAGGACTTCCACAACGGAAGGATACTTGTCTTTGTAACTCAGTACTAGAAATGTTGGACGATGTTATATGGCTAAATCTAACTGGCAAGAGTAGTGTCTGCTGTGGGGATGGAAATGTAACTGCTGAATAACTTTTAAATAGATGATAAGTTAAAAATACACGTGACAAAGTCTGCTTTGAAATCCAGGAGGTTCTGCAAAGTGGTTGTTTTAGGCTATGTGTTGCTCATAGCTTTCTTTTGATTTCTGCTCTTAGAAAAGAAGAGTGATGAAGAGATGGAAGGGAAGAAGAGACGTGTGAGTCGCACTGTATGCCCATTTTATTCCTATGAGCAAATGCAGTTTCTCCGTGATGAAGTTCTAGTGGAAGTGAAAGATATTGAGCAGTTGGTGGCTTTGGGAAGGGAGACCAAAGCCTGCCCTTATTATGGGAGTCGATACGCCCTTCCTGCTGCTCAGGTAAGGAGTACATACTTTTAGTGGAATTAATGCCAGGGCCTCTAAGAATGAACCAATTGCCTGCTCCCTCCAGTACTGTTACTCAATATTGTGGGAGTTTGTAAACAGGCTTGTGCTTCTGCCAGCTGTAGTTTTGCTGAGAAAGCAAAGGAAAAGAATAATACCCATTTGTAGTTAATAGGGAGGCTGTGAGTATGTCTTAGCGTTCTGAAATACTTGAAAGGCTCAATAATGCCGAGGCAATAGTGACACATGGGTGTAATCTTAGCTCTTGCCACCGCTTTTCTTCCTTGCTTGGTTCTCTATCAGAAGATGTGCTTTCAGTGCTTCAAAGGAGATTTGGAAGGTAACCTGAGCCAATATGCAGTTGTAGCATAATCATTTCTCTTTAGTTTACATCCCAGCCCTTCTCAAGCATGTGCTCCTGTCTCTCTTCCTACCATTCCCATAATAAAAGTAACTTTCTTGACTGAATTCTGCGAGGCTATCTGATATGGGCCTTTAATGAGAGGTTGGGGAGTGCCCTAATTTTGTAAGGATGAGAGCTAGAATCAGGGCAGCGTTTGCTTCTCCTGTAGCTGGTGGTGCTGCCCTATCAGATGCTCTTGCATGAGCCTACCAGGAGCGCTGCTGGGATCAAGCTGAAGGACCAGATCGTAATCATTGACGAGGCCCACAACCTCATAGACACCATCACCTGTATCCATAGTGCAGAGGTCAGCGGCTCTCAGGTGAGTCATAGCCTGGCCCGTTAATCGTGAGTGAGCTCTGCTTCCAGCAGAGCGCCCTTTCTTGACTCCTTTGTAATAACAGCTCCTTTTTTTGTTTGTGTAGCTGTGCTGTGCCCACTCCCAGCTGTTGCAGTACATGGAGCGATACGGGTGAGGATCTTAAACGAAAATAGCACAACAGTGGCAGGCAGCATGGATGCCATGGCTTGTCTCATGTCTGCAGGGGCTTTCTTGCTTTTCCCCAGTGGAAAGTTATTTGCATTAATACTTCTGCAGATGGAAAGCCACTTGCTTCATTATCTCTGTCTAGAATCCATCTAAGTCAGACTCCTGGGGCTGGTATTAAGCAGTGAGAAGGGGGATACTCTGAGGATTCCGGCTTTCCCTTATACTCTCGGTTCCTTTCCCACTATCTCCCTCTAATTGCTCCTGCTTTGTGATGCAGAGTTTCAAAAGATTCAGTCTTTCATGTCTCTCCTGGACCTTAGTCTTTCATGTGCTGGCTGGCATTATGGCAGAGGAAGTAAGCTCTGAGGAGGAGGAAGCTATATGTTGTTTTTGGCTCTGGCCAAATCTTGCATCTTGTCATCCCTGCAGTGGTTGATTATTGTGCTCAATGCTAATAACTTTGAATTTGTGGAGTGTTATTGCAACAGGGACTTGGGATGTCAGTGCCATTATAATAAACAAACTGTAATTAATGTGTGAGGAGAAGGGCGATGGTAGGTACAGTGTGGGGTGCATGGGTGAGTGCTCTGAGGTGACCTTGGGCAGGATATCCAGGGATCTATGCCCTGCCACAAATAGGGAGAGTGAGCCTGGGAGAAATCATTCTTGGCTCCTGTCTCCCCAAAATGAAGAGGAGTTCAGATGCTTGTCTCTGCAGCTCAGCTGCTGAGAGTCTGTCCCTGAAGATGTTTTGCGGCCTAATACCTGTCTCATTTTTCATAGGAAACGTCTGAAGGCAAAGAACTTGATGTACATTAAGCAGATCCTGTATTTGCTGGAGCGGTTTGTAGCCACGCTGGGAGGTAAGCAAACCTGTTCTATCTCCAGGGATGCTGATAGACTCTGAGCTCATTGGTGCTTCCTCAGGGCACTGTCCCCCCTTCCCCCTCTGCAGAATCTGTGGGGAGGTGTTGCTCACGTATAGGTTCAGGTGCCTATTTTATTTCTCAGGCTGTTTTGTTATGGGGATGTTGACTGGTGTGTCTGCCTGAACCCCTCTCTTTGTTTGATTAGCTGAGGAGCAGCAGATGACATCATAAGTTGGTAGAGGCAGTTTCCCTCTCTTTCTATGTGGTTTTCATATCTGATTTGAGTGGAGACGAGGGTGCTAAGTGAGGAATACAGCAGATGTGTGACAGTGATCAGAACAGTAAAAGAGCTGCTCAGAATGAATCTCCTGGGTCATCTTGTGGCACGGCCTCTACCTGAGTCAGGCGTGCCTCTGCAGAATGAGTCTTTCTTGAGTAGTGCCTTTCCTCTGTGGAAAAACATTATTTTGCTGTGGTTTTTAAATCCACTGGCATTTGCAGGGCTCCTTTCCTCTAATGATCTGTCTGCAAGACCTCAGTGTGCCTTAAGGAGAGCCTGTCATAAGTTCATAAAGAACTTCCTCCTTGCCCAAGGGGAAATGCAGCTCTTTGGGGCAGGGGCCTGGTGGTGCTCTCTGCCCTTCTCTCAAAAGTATACTTCTCTTCCCACCCTGTTCCTGCCAGTCTTCTCTTCTCCACACTCAGTTAAGTGCTTTCATTAGAAAATGCAGCCTGTGTACAGCTTCATGATTGAGGCCGCAAAAGCGAGATGTGAGATGGGTGTTAAACACTAGGACATAAAACGCAGTGAGTGGCAGCAATTAATCCTGTTCTGGCTGTCAGGGTCTGGGTGTGGAGCTGTCCTCAGGTTTTCCCCTCTTCCCAATCGCCTGCCAGCCTATGCGCCTCCCAGCTCCCCGCTGCTGCATTGAGGAGGGGTGAGGAATGCATTGCAGTCCCTGTCCCTTCATCTTTGCAGCATGATGACTAGGTAGTGTGTGAGCATTTGCATGCACCCATCCTACCTGCTGCCTCCTGCAGAATGAATGTAGGTGGTGTTTCTTAGGATGCAGCAGCGCACTTGTCCTACAATGTACCCTACAGGGGAAATTAAAACTGAGCAGGAGCTGATGTTTTGTCTGTATAGCTACATTTTGCAGATGTGTATTTCTTGCTTTTTGTCCTCGTGCGGTCTCCCTTTCGGCTCAGTTGTTAGTCTCTTGCTTAATTTTAAGATAGACCCATTGTAAGCCTTCCTTGAATTGGTTTCCTGTTTTACAGGTAATGTGAACCAAAATCCTAGCTGTCAGGTAGTCTCCCAAACAGGTAAGACTGGAGTGAACACCTGGGGTATGCAGCCATCAGTCAGGGACATGGGGGTGGGCAGTAAAGGGCTGCAGGCCCAGCAGCTAATAATCTTTATTCTCCTTTCCCCCCCTTTCTTTCAGGGACAGTGCTAAAATCCATCAATGACTTTCTATTTCAGAGCCAGATTGACAATATCAACCTCTTCAAGGTAATGCAAATGTTGTCGTCTGCTAGGGCACAGGTGGTGGTGACTTGTTCAAGGTTATCAGGAAGCGTGTGCGAGAGCTGGAAGTAGAGCCAAGGCCCACATGGCAGAATCTGCTTTCTAGCAGATTCTCCCCAATGTATAGATCTCTCCTGCTGCTGTCTGCATAACAGTGCATTAAAGCTGGATAGGTGCTCTTGCAGTAGAGGGAAGCAAGTAATTAAACATGTATGAGTGCAGAGGCTGTCTGTAGGCAAAGCTAAACTGTAAGGGCAAAGCTAAACCGTAAGGGTTGAGGGTGAAGAACCTATACTACTCCAGTAACCTAACCCATCCCTTGAACCTCCAAACACAGCACCTTAACATTGTGTGTTTCCACTCTGGAAACAATGCCTTTAATAAACTGTTGTTTGGGAGGCAACACTCATGAAGAACTGCGCACCCCTCCCCAAGAGCACAGCAAGAACAGCAAGTGATATCCCTGCTGGACAGAGATCAAGGGCAGCAGGATGGGAGAAGGGATGCTGAATGCCAGTTCATTTTTCTGTCTTCCTCCAACAGGTTCAGCGTTACCAGCAGGAAGGTATTGCCCCTGTGACTTTATGGTCAACAGCATTCAAATGCTCTTTCACGCATTGCATTTGAAGTGGAAGATGCAGCAGCTGGGGTGGGAACCTGTGTCTTCTCCACCCTGCTCTGCAAACGAAGTGGTTCCAGCAAAAAGCACTGTATGGGCGAGTTACCTTTTGCCTATACGGCAAGGAAGCATGCAACGTGGTGTACCACAGTATTCCAGTGGGTACTAATTCTGGGCTGCTTGGCCTTAAACTCGCCAGCCTGGTAGGCTGCACTGCACTGGGGGAACAAACATCAGAGACTTGTTTTGGTTTTAATTCAATGAGTGAAGGAAAGTAATGGGAGCTCTGGGCTGACAGATTCTGATTGGGCTGGTTTGCAAACACCTATCAAGGAACTTTATCTGTGGCAGGCCAGCAAACCTGTTTTTTTCTTTTCTTTTGGTAGTCTTAGTCTTACTGGCTTTTGTTTGGCAGCTTTTTGGGTTTGTGGAGCGATATGGAGGCCCTGCCACAGCTGTGAAGACCAACAAGGAGAACAGGAAGTTGGCTGGTTTGCAGAACTTTCTTCTGACCCTCCAGCACGGATCTGATAAAGAGGGTGAGTTCAGACATCCTCCACTTGTGCATCTGCGGACAAAGTGAGGATGTGGAACCTGCGTCTATCTGCATGAGGAAAGGGGGGAGGCAGATTTGAAGGGCAATAAACTGCAGAAGCTGTCCTGTGCAGGTGTTTTGTAATATATATGACTAACTGACCTAGGCAACTATACATATGATTAGAAGATCTCCTGAGGTCCCTTCCAAGCTGAATGATGCGATTCCATGTTTATACTGCACGCACTCAAGCTTTGCCCTGCTGTGACCTGCTGGCTCTGGGACCTGAGCTGCCATGGGTAGCTCTGTTTAGTGGTGCCAGCTACAAAAGCCAGATCTTTCTTTTTTTTCCTAGCAATGAGACAGAATTTGGGTTCTCTCCTTTATTGGCTCTTTGTTCTCTGCCTGCGTATGTAGACCAGGTGTCATGTTCCTGTAGAAAGGACCCATCTATGTTTTGTGCTTAGTCCCTGTCTTCAGAAATGTGGCCTAAGTTGCCTGCCTTTCCTTTTCTCTTCTGGCCAGCAGGTACTCTCCAGAGCCCTCCCGTGGAGGCTGAGAACGACCAGTTCCGAACTGCCTCTCCACTGATGCAGATTGAAGGATTTCTCTCAGCCCTCACAAATGCAAACCAAGATGGCCGAGTCATTCTCAGCAGGCAAGGTACTGGAAAGGGCGAGCTGGGGAGAGGTGGCATGAGTCACAAGCAGGGCGCTTCACTGGCAATGAGGGAGGAGGTCCTGAGCCTGGGGGGAGCCTGCAGCCCTGCCGGAACATCTCTGTGCTGTCCATAATGCAGGCTGGCAGGCTCGGTCTGTGTGAGGACTCTCATGAGCCCGAAGGAATTCTTAACCAAGGGCATTGGGGCCAGGGTTTGTGGAGCTCTGCTCCCATTTTGGATGTCGATTTTTGCCTTGCGATTTATTGCGCTTCTTCCACAGCTCCAGGAAGATTAGGAAGCAGCAGATAACTTCTAGGTTGGCTTTACCTGCTGCTGCCCCTGGCAATGTTGAACAGCAGCAAGTCCTTGTTTTGAGAGGTGGGGACCTGCCAGAGTGCCCAGGACAGGAGGGAGAATCTCTTGCATCCCTGAGCGTGTGTCACAGCTAGGTCCTGATGTTGTCTCTCCTTTTCCCAGGCACAGTTGGTCAGAGCAGCCTCAAATTCCTCTTGCTGAATCCAGCTGTCCACTTTGCCAAGGTGGTGGAAGAATGCCGTGCTGTAATCATTGCTGGGGGCACCATGCAGCCGGTGAGGGAATAAGGATGCTATGCTGGGCTCTGGGGAGGTCTCTGGTGTTATCTGCAAGCAGGCATGGAAAGATAGCACCCTGGCCCCACTGGGATGTGCTCCTCTTCTCGCTTCCCATGGTGCGTGTGGAAAAAGACTTTTCCTACCTACCCTTTTGGTAGGAAACCCTGCTATAGTTTCCCTGCATGAGGCATCACACTGCCTGTTTATGCAAAAAGTTGTAGGTGTAAGGGCAGGATTGTCCTTGTCGGCCTTTCTTGTCCTCAAGGACAGGCTGAGGCTGAGCTCATGGTGGGTTGGAACTAGCATGGGTAGCAGTCAGAGGACCTTGTAAAACCATCTGACCTTCTAAAGGGACAGGGATCCCACAGGGACCATCCCATAGGGGATCTTTCAGAAAAATCACGACTTTAGTCTTGGTATGGTGGCAAGCAGCTTATCGTTCTTCTCCCGTGGCTTTAGTGCCTGAGAGACAGTGTGTTTGTGTTGGTCGGGTGCAGTGGAGTGTGTCAGATATCCCAGTTATCCTGTTATACGTTTATCCTGTTCCTGGACACGAATGTCCTGAAACTTCCTCTTTGCCTGTGTGGTGACAAGGGAGGGAAGGAGGGTGTGAAGTGCAGGACCTACTTTTTGGAAGGCCACCATTCCAACTTTGAACTTTTCAGACTGCAACTTGGAGAGAGAATGTAGTTGCAGTCCAAGCTGTGGCCTGTGCAGTGCTTGGGAGTCCTGGTAATGCGTTTTTGGGCCTGGGGAAGTCTGAAATTGGGGTGTGTTGGGCCGAGATGCTGGCTGGTTCCGGGCGGGGGACCTGCCCTGTGCCGTGGGGCCATGGCAAGGCTCAGGACCGCGGGCGCTGAAAGGGGAGCCCCCCCC